CACACACACACACACACACACACACACACACACACACACACACACACACACACCATGGGACAGACACAGAGGGCAACAGAAAGGCACACATGGGCGTGGGTTAGATAGACAGGATAGAATAAGAACCCGATAGTACACATGATCAGGTATGGTACACCAAAACATAGAAAAGCAAGAAAAAGAGGCAAGCAGGGAAAAAAAGATGTCCCTTACACAGTTAATGACAAATACACTGTGTTACTCCCATTATGACTGAACACGCTATGTGATGTGCTAAAGGCACAGTGTACCGCACCTATACACCTGAAACAAGATGTAATCTACCTTCAAAAGAACATCAGTGTAGAGCACTGACTGCGGCATGAAAGGAACAAGGCACAGCTTCACTGACAGTTGGTGCACCCTGCTTCCATTTCCCTTTTCTTCTTTTTTGGCATCGCAAAATACATTTCAACTTAACACTCTTAGATGTGTGATGGGCATTGATTTCACTCTGTACTCTTCGTTTTTTAGAAATGTACCCATTTTGCTTTGATATTTCACTCTGTGCAACATTGTCAAAAGAAAGACGCTGGGAACGTCGTCCACAGCAACTGAAATGTAATATTTTAATGGAGTCATTCCTACAGAACACATCCAATTATGGACTGTAGAAAACTAAATAGTGTATGGCTGAAATTGAAAAGAGATGGAAACTTTTGGGTATGGTTGCTAAAAAAAACGTTCATTTCGAAAGAAGCGAAGACAGGATTTGTTCCTTCTTTAAGGGTTAAAGTTTTGAGGCTTTGAGATATCGTAGCTCCAAAGAACAAGCCAAAGAGAATTAAATCAGATAGAATATGACACGTCTTGCTTTCTTAGAAGTCAAGCTCTTTTGACCACCATTTTCTGTTCATGTAGGGCTGCTTGGATAACACATTTGAATGACAGTGAATTTGACAGTACATGTCTGACTTAACAACTCAATCGGCTCTCTGAGGATAATAGAGACTACATTGTGAGTTTTGCTGTCATTATCAGGTGAGTCAAATTCAGTAATCAGTCGGGGGAGGCTGACAGAAAAAGAGAGAGGAAGTGGTGCACTACACCTCCAGCTCCTCTGGGGGCTGAGCCGGGTCAGCTACAAGACCGCCAGGTTGTTAAAACCTATTAATGGGATGGTGCAGAGTGCTCCACTGTACCACTGCAGTGCTACATTATTCATCACATCCGGAGCCAATTCAATAGCTTCCTTTTTTCTAGCTTTCAATGGTTGAAGGCAAAGGATTGGGAACCGGTTGATGATTTCCACTTGTTGTGATTCATATGTCCTTTGTTTATGTTTACATGCAGAACCTCCACTCAACTCGATTGGGTGATAACCAAACAGACACATCAAGGAGGCTGCTTGTTACAATGCCAAAGATCCCAGACAAAGACTCTCATTAAATGTGTTGGTTCACAAACAAGGTGAAGAGGAGCGACTCAGGCATGTATTTTAATATCTGACAGGAATTCTAAGTAGTAGATGAAAGGTTATGGTTATCTCCCACTTCATTCATATTCAGCAAAACGACAGTGATAACACGGCATGTTTGATGGACAAACTGAATGCGTGTCCTCGAGCTGATTCAAAAGTTCTGCATTCTCAGTTAATGGCCTTCGACAACATTGTGTTGAGATTGAATTGGGATGCAAAACACATTCTTTCAGCCATCTGAGAGGATGACACTGTTGCTTAGTTCATTGCTCAAGGTAGTAATTGAATGGTCTATGTGAACACCTGCCTTATATAAAAAAAACGGGACATAACTCTGAATTACTAATACAGAACTTGAATACTTTAGAAGATATCTTCTTTTTTGTTTTTTAATGAAGCCCTTACAGCCCCATAATCAACTCGTATTAAAGGGGACCTATCTTGCAAAATGCACCGTTGTACGTCTTTTATACATGAATATGTGTCCCCGGTGTGTCAGCGAACTCACCAAGTGTCAGAAAACACAACCCTCTCTCTTTTCCTCCATACCCAAATCTCTAAAAACGGGGCTGGAACAGATCTGATACAGACTGATCCAGATTTGAAAATAGTCTGACGTCAGTGACGAGGAGCTCCGCCTATATGGCCAACTCTCCACCAATCAGGGGAATGAGAGGTTGCCGTGGCATGTTAACAGCATGGTAACATGACGCTCGTAACTCGGCCCCCTCCTTTGCAATATAAAGTTATATACAGTGTTGGGTGTAACGCGTTACAAAAGTAACAGAGTTACAGTAATATATTACTTTTTGCTGTAACGAAGTAATGTAACGCATTACTAATTAAATGTGGGTAATATATTACCCGTTACAATTCTCAGTAACGCAGTTACAACACATTTTAACCCGAAATTAAATGGTGTTTTTTTTTTTAAGAATGTACTAGCGAGACATTCCGACACCGCACAAATTGTGCGGGTAGATTAGTAAACCTGGTGTTTACCCTTCAGGCTTCGCGTCGAGATCTTCGGGGAAGTTGAACGTTATGCAACCATTCAAAAAAGAGAACGTAGCGAAAAATACAAACAACAAATTGTGTCAGGTGCGCGTGACCTGCTCCGCTGCGCGTGGTATCATTTCCAAAGTGCTTCCACAGCAATGACACACATCTGATCTGTGGATAATCATTTATACGAAAATGGTTAAAGCAACCATCACTAAACGCCAGCAACACTGCATCTACTGNACATTTCCTCTTACGACCCTAAATGTGAAACATAGTACGTGTGTGTGTGTGTGTGTGTGTGTGTGTGTGTGTGTGTGTGTGTGTGTGTGTGTGTGTGTGTGTGTGTGTGTGTGTGTGTCTCTCTGTGTTGCTGTGTGTGTGTGTGTGTGTGTGTGTGTATATATATGTGTGTGTGTGTGTGTGTGTGTGTGTGTGTGTGTGTGTGTGTGTGTGTGTATGTGTATGTGTATGTGTGTGTGTGTGTGTGTGTGTGTGTGTATGTGTGTGTGAGAGTGTGTGTGTCTGTGTGT